TGGAAGCACAAATAGATTTCTTTTCTGAGGTAAATACAACTCAAACTTCAGCTTGTGTGAGTTGGGGAGCATTTAAAGCTTTTCTTAGAGGTCAAATGATTGGCTATATGAGTTCTAAATTTAAAGCCTCCCAACTTGAAATGAAAAGATTAGAGAACAGAGTAAAAGAACTAGAAGATATTTTCAAATAGCTCCTTTGAGTTCATTCCTGAATTGAATAAAGTAAAACCCTCTATAATGAATTATCAATGAATCAGGCAGCAAAAGGTTTACTGCGACTGAAACAAAGTTATTATGAACAGGGAGAAAGAGCTGGCAAATTATTGGCTTGGCACATCAAACAGATACAATCAGAGAGTGCAATAAGTGCCATTCAGTCTAATGACAGAAATCTTACAGCTGAACCAACAGAGATAAATAATGCATTTAAATGTTATTATGAGACTCTATATACTGTAGTTCAGAATATTCAGAGGCCTGCCAGCCCCAGCAGTCAAACTTTTTAGATACTCTGGAGTTTCCTTATCTAGAGGAGGATTTAGTTGCATATTTAGAGGATAACTTAAAGGTTGATGAACTGTCTGAAGCTGTTGTCAATATGAATGGAGGAAAGAAATCAAGGTCCGATGGCATCCCTATAGAAATCTATAAAATATTTAAAAGTTAACTAATTCAGCCGCTTATAGACATATAAGTACTAAGAGTCATATAAAAATGGAATTCAACCTCTTTTATTTAATCGTACATAAATTGCACTGTTAATAAAACCCGGAAAATCACTATTAGAACAGGGTTCATACAGACCCATTTCACTGATCAATAATGACACAAAGATTTTGTGTAAAGTTTTGGCAAAAAGACTAGGGAATCTTTTGCCTCAATTAGTTCATAGTGATCAAAATTGATTTGTTAAGGATAGGCAAGCATTCCACAATATTAGAAGGGTACTCAACATTGTATGATGAAAGAAAGGGGTGCCTGACAATGCAGTTTTATCATTAGACGCAGATAAAGCATTTGATCAGATCGAGCATCAGTACCTGTTTGAGGTTCTATCCAGAATGGGGATAGGAAGAGGGTTTCTCAAATGGATTAAAGTAATTTATGCTAACCAATCCGCTGAAATTCTAACCAATGGTTTGATATCTACAACTTTTAATCTCAGCAGAGGAACATGACAAAGATGTTCCTTGTCATTGTTGCTGTTTACACTAGCCATTGAACCATTGGCCATGGCATTAATGGTATAAATATAGGTAATGTAGAACATCGGATAGCATTATACGCTTATGACATAATTTTATTTCTTACAAACTTAAATCATTCAATACCCTCTCTTTAAGATCTGATTAAAACATATGGGCTCTTTTCAGGATATAAGATAAATAACAATAAATCAGCTTTCATGTTCTTATATGAGAATGAGAGAGGTCATCCACCAATTCAAACCCCTTTTGTGGTATGCAAGGAGGGTTTTACTTATTTAGGCATTAAGGAGCAGTGGCACTGTGGCTAAGGATCTGTGCCTGTGGCTAGAAGGTTGCTGGTTCAAATCCTGTGGTTGGCAGAGGAATCCTACTCTGTTGGTCCCCTGAGCAAGACCCTTAACCCCAACTGCTTCAGTGGTGTTGTACAATGGCTGACCCTGTGCTTGGACCCTAAGCTTCTCTGTCTGTGTGTCTGTGTCTCTTGGAGAGCAAGCTGGGGTATGTGAAAAGACAAATTCCTAATGCAAGAAATTGTAAATGGCTAATAAAGTGATCTTATTTTATAACATTACCCCAGAAGTCAACAAATAATCCCAAAAAATTAGAATCAGTAATAGAATCAATAAATAGGTGGACCAAAATGCCCGTATCATTGATTGGGAGAATCAATATAATTAAAATGTCAGTTTTACCTAATGTTTCTGTATCTTTTCCAGCCAATCCCTCTTTACCCACCTCCTTCTTTTTTTAATTTATTGAAGAAAGCATTCACAAATGTTATTTGGAATAATTAACATCCTAGACTCAGTTTGTCTTTACTGTATTTACCATATGAGAGTGGAGCGCTACAATTACCGAATCTAAAATGGTACTACTGGGCAGCACAGATCCAGGCTGCTAGGTTTTATCTTAACACAGATTCACCACCTGCTTGGATGCTGATTGAATCTCAATCAATAGCTAAGATCCCACTGAATCTATATCTTTTTTTTATCTGATAGTAAAAACTTGAAAAACACAAAAAATCCTTTTCTTAAAAATACATTATCTGTTTGGCACGAAACCCTTTCATATTTAGGGGAGGCTTCACAGATATCTCAGTTTACTCCTGTTTTTGGTAATGAAGATTTTTGTCCTAGGAAGTCTGATCCAGGATTTAAAATTATGGTCAAATCTAGGTATTAAGCAGGTATCAGATATTTATAAAGATGGGTATATAACATGACTTTTGAGGATCTTAGAAACACTTACAGTATTCCAAAAACCCAGTTTTTTTAAGTATCTACAACTGAGAAGTTATATCCTCTCAAAGCAGAATCACTCATTAGATCAATCGTTTGATTGTAGGCTTCAATCTTGGAAGAAAGATATACAAGAAGACATATCTGAGGAAGAGTGGAGGGAAACTTGTTTAAAAGCTCAGACTAAGACTGTTAATACTAGCTTAAAACTCTAACAGTATAAGTGGATAGGAAAATTATATATCACACCACATAAACTTCATCAATTCAATCCTAATATTCCTGACTTCTGTATTAAATGGAAAGATAACAAAGGTGCATTATTTCACTGCATGTGGGAATGTCTAAAAGTTCAGGGTTTTTGGAAGCAGCCATTGCATGTAGTTTCACAGATTATTGGTATGAAATTGCCTCCTAACCCTTAATTATGCTTTCTTAATATATATCCAGAACAGCTTAGGATAACTAAAAAGGAGTGTTCATTGGTAACCATCTGCCTTTTGGAAGCAAAACGAGTGATAGCCTATTTTTGGAGACAGGAAGAAAGTCCTTGTGTGTCACATTGGTTGAAGGGGATGACTTCATGCCTTGCATTGGAAAAGATTACTTATCTCCTTAAATCAAAAATGAGAGAATTCAGAGAGATATGGGATTCATTTCTAAACTTTCTAGAGAATCATAGGGGTAACATCTAGAGATAAGGTGAGTAAAGGCTTAAATTAGGGGAACTACTTTATGAAAGGTAATACATTTAAGATATATATACAACATGTATCTATGTTAAAAAACGAACACCTATGTAACTTGTGTTTTGAATCACTGCCATTGTATAAGCTATTTGTAAATGTGCAAACTGTCTGGATGTTTTATCACATTCTTCCTTTTTATTGTTGTTTTCCTTTTTGTTGTTGTTTGTACATTGTTAATATTTCTCATTTCATATTTAATATGGAAAAACCAATAAATATATTGTTTAAAAAAACAGTGACTGTGAAGCTTGTAAAAACTGATGTGAATAGATGGAGAAAAGTACTAGTTTTTCTTAGAAGTTAGCTTGTTTTAGACCTAAAAATCTTCCAGAAAGACAATAATCCAAAGCACAAAGCCAAACAATATACATACAAACTATACTATAATGGCTTCAGGTATATGTTTTCCTAATGTTTAACAGTCTAGCTTGTAGGTTTTATAGTCTATTATAACAGTCTATTATAACTAAATCACATTTAAATTTTCAGACACAAGTAAATATGCATTTACTATTGGGAACTAAACATCAAACATGCATTTGTAACAATAATTGTTGAGAATTGTGCCTAATGAGGTTATACTTAACAATCCATTGCCTAGTCCTTGATGAGTTTAAACTGGCTGGATTTCCATAGCAGGTTCTTGGTGCTGGGGGTCCCAATACAGGAGAAAGAGAGTGCTTTTCTGACATTGCCTAGCACTTACATTGGCCTCAGGCAGCTTTGTTAAAGTAGCACTCTACTGGCTTTGGTCTTTAAAACTGGCTGTACGCAGTTTGCTTTCTTGAGGTTCTTGTGACAAAAGACAAAAGGGAAACTCAGTTTATTCCTTGCTATAGCTTTATTCAGAAAATTCTGGATGTCAACAAAAAGAAAGAGTCAAGTGGTCTAATTTCATTAATCATGGAAAATAATAGTGGATTTGAATAATAATAAACAAACACAAGATTTCTTCTGTTTCAGAGAGTATATATTCTGTTCTAAATGACTCACTCTCTTGGCCTGGTGTCTTGGAGAAATGTTCAAATGTTTGTAGTTATCTGGTCATAAAAGTCAGTTGGCCAGTTTAGGGAGAGATCTTCAGATTAATGAGTTAACTGGAGAAAAAAATGACTTGTTTATATGGGGTGACATCACCGGTTGGTAATTGGCCAAGATACTATCAAGTTTGGTTCTGGTACCTACCTAACAGATCAATTATTGGTGGATCCTCCCCTGGGTGACTGGAATGTTGGTGGACCCACTTGCACTATATATTCTTACATTGTTCAGCTACTTGGTCAAGGCACAGAAATATTTAATAACACTTAATTCTAAGTGAAATAATAGACCTTGTCCCTACAACATGCAATAAAGCCTATGTAAGTGTTTAGCATACAAAATATATTAAATATTTTTTGCTGTTTTACATTAATGTAAAATATATAATACATATGAACTCCATAGGTCATATCATTCCTTGTTAGCACAAATGCCTCATTTAAGGATTATAAAGTTAAAAGGAGGGTGAAAAAAATCACAATAAAACCTAGAACAAAAGTTAATAACATAAAGATTCAAATTAATTATTTATTTGACTTATTTAATTTAAATTTAGTTTTAAATGTATTATTTTTGTTGTCCACCTTTTAAACATTTGTTTTTATCTGCTCAGTTAACTGATTGTACTATAATTATACCAAACATTTCCCAATTCTAATGCAGTAGGTTTCCCAAAATAACATACAGTAAGTATGGTTTTGTCCATTGCTTTTACCACCTTATCGTGTAACCATGTAATATTTTCTCTGCTATTTCCCCAGAATGCAGAACCATCAGCAGTGGATGATAGGAGCTCTGGTGGTGGCTCTTTTGGTTCTCACAGCAATGGCAGGAGACATTGGCAAAGCAGAGAAACAAGGTGAAGTTGATTTATTTACCAACACAAGATGCAAAGAGTCTTAACTAGTATGAAGAACTACTAAATATTGAACCTTAAAGTAGAAGCCTCGATGCAAAACAGCACTCACAGTTCCGAAAGAAAATATGTACAGTCCTCACCCCAGTTATGCCCGGTATTATCAGTGTCATAGTACGGAGATGATGTGGTTAGCAAATAGTTAATGAAAAGGCAGAAAAATAATGTTACTAGCAAAACATATACTGTATTAATATCTGGAGACACAGATGGGACTGATACTAAACTAGTAGTTTATTACAAATGGTAAATGTACTGTATGTCTGTAATTCTAAATTAATTCAAGTAGGTGGCTCATCGGCATGCTTCAGGTCACATGAAGAAGGCTCCACAGCCAAAATGTTGTGTTCCTTTTTTTCTCTTTTCAGCATGGAATAAACCTTTACTTGTTCCTTTGAATTCTACTTCTACTTTGTATATACTGTTTCCCTTTCTATTGTTCTTTAATTTTAACAGAAAACATTTTCTCCTTCTAACTGAATTGTATCTTTACACCTTAAAAATACAGAGTTCAAATATTTTTGCAAGGGAACTTATTTCTATATAAATATTTTGATATATTCTTCTTGAGAATGGAGTTAATGGAGTTAGTGTTTCCAATTAGTCTAATAAGAATATAAGCTAAGACAACCTAACCAGAGAAACTGATTCAACAGTTGATTTAATAGGAGGGAATGAAAGACTATCCAAGAACTCTGTCTTTCTACATACTTTACCTTCTGAAGCTAAAGTATTTTATAAGGTGGACATACTTTGACCTGGAATGGAAGAATCGCTGGACACAAGGGCTACTATGTAATCTATACTGTGTTATATACTGTAGGAATGTGTGATACAAAGCTAAGTGAAAACTGAGACAGACTCCTGACTGTCTTTTAAGGGGAAGCAGAAACAACAGATTTACTCCATTTATTATTTGGGATAAATCCCAAACTGATATTTAAATGTTATGCACAGTTCCACATGCAATATCAGTTAATTTATCATGACCAGAGGAGTACAGCAATAAACTGAATCTTTTTTCTTAACATCTGAGGTTAAGAAAAATAAATGTAATCATTCTAACAATTGGCACTTTACCTGTGAAAAATACTGTATGAAACATGACCTAGAGCTACAGCAAAGAAAAGACTCTGAATACTTTTCTTAAACAGAAAAAGATTGATCTCCATATGTACTGTATACACAGGGAAGAAGGAGAGGAAGTCAGACTGTGGAGAGTGGCAGTGGAGCGTCTGTGTGGCCAACGTTGGGGATTGTGGTCTTGGGACAAGAGAGGGAACTAGGACAGGAAATGACTGTAAGCAGACTATCAAAACTCAGAAGTGCAAGATTCCTTGTAACTGGAAAAAACAGTTTGGGGGTAAGTTTTTTTCATTAAGTCTTTGTATGCTTCTGATCCAATGTCAGTCTTAATGATAGGAACATTGCCTTGCAGAAGTATTCAGAACCCTTGGATGCCATTACAGCTGCAGATAGGTTTGGGTCTCTACAGACTTTGCACTCTTTGGTGCAATGTTTGCCCATTTTCTTGGCAGATTCTCAATAGAATATAAGGCAGGATTTTGACTGAATTACTCAATGACATCCATTGTCTTATTATTAAGCCACTCTAGTGTAGCTTTGGCATTATGCTATGGATCATTGTTCTTCTGAAAGTTTTATTGAATTTTATTCATATAATATTTATTAGAAGTTTGCTACTTCTTTTCTAATCAGTCTTGAGAAGCATAATAGGATGGATAGTGTTGACTGAGTGATGTACTCTGGGTTGTTTGCACTAGACAGCATATTTTGCATTTAGAACACAATTCCTATTTTACAATTCTGTATTGCTGACCTTAAAAATATAGTCACATGTATGCAACATCATTTAAATGCTTTGCTAGAAACTCCATGCAGAATTTGAGATAGGTTTTTTTCAGTAATGGCTTCCTTTTTGCCACTTTGCATACAAGTTAGGTTTGACTCACAAACATTATCTTCCCTCTCAGTCATTCCACTCTGTATCTTTTATAAAGTAGCTGCTGCCCTCACAGTGTCATCCCTAACTGTTTTCTCCTTGTATGGTTGCTCAGCTGGGAGGGACAACTTGATGTAGGCAGTTTCTGATGTAGTGCAATACACCTTTCACTTATTACTAATTGACTTCACCATTTTCAAAGGAATATCAGTAATTTTTAAATGTTTATACCCTTATTCTGGTCTATGCTCTTCTGCAGCTGTGTTTTCTGCATGCTGTATTTTTTGCAGCTGAGTTGTTTTGAAAGATTCTTGGTCTTCATGGTTGAATCTACTACCTGACTGAAGAACCACACAGAAGCAGATGTATTTATTCTGAAGTCATGTGAACCCCTTTTATTGCTCACAGAGGCCACTGAACTAATTTTGTGGCTCATTAAATCAATTTTATGCACCTAAATTAATTTGGGTTTGCCACAGTAAATGGTAATTGAATACTTATGAGATCACAACTTTTCTATTTTTGTTCCATATGAATTATGTATTTACGTCTTACTTTTTGTTTTGAATGTGTGGAGTATGTTTTACATATGAAAGCAAAAACTGTACATACTTTATACAGTATGTCCGTATACCCCAATATTCCAATGAATTTTCACAATTGAGTTTAAAAATTTGTAATTTTTTCATTACATTAACACTATAATGGTCAGGTTTTAGAGTAATAAAATATCATCATGCCTCTCCAATGTGTAACACCAGATTTATATCATTTAGACAGGCCAAGAAGGGTATACTAGTCTTACAGTTTGTTAGAATAAAACGGCTGGCAGCCACATGGGAAGGCAGTCGTGCAACCCTTTCACCTAAAGTATGCTTAGTGCTAACTATAGGGCTAGCTCTGCAGGTTGGAGTGTGCAACACTAAACCTAGGATGCCTTTACTTTTGCCATGGTGGCGGAGCATTCATGCACATTAATTGCCCTTTATGTGGGGTCTCTATAACATTTATATTGAAACAGAATACAACTGAATACAACTGCTCTGGGAATGTCTGTTCAGAGGCAGAAACTGAACCTACTGTGCTGTTACTAATTCACTTTTGCAGTGCTAATCTGGTTCATAACCCACTTTACCTACCCATTTTTCTCTATTGTCAATAACATAATGGGGTACCTTCCTCCTGAACGGGTGGATCAATTTGCTTTGCCCATCTGAGAGCTAAATAATTTCCCGGGTCATCAAACTACACTTTTCTTGTCACTTGTTTCAGAAATAACTTGTTTGCTATATAAACATGCTGGTTGATGAGTGAGCATTGTACTACCTGTATCTACTTTGATGCCAACACTTAGCCTGCTCACTAACTGCAGGGGAATACCATTGCAGGGCAACCTGGCACTTATTTTCTCTCTATTTTTTTTTACGTTGGGCCCAAGGGTCTTGACAGTTTAAGTACAAGGGCATCTCAAAATGACAGTTTCTCTCTTCCAATAGATTTGATAGGCTAGAGCAGGGTGAGAGCTTGAAAAAATTTCCATGCAGTGCTGATACCTGTCACTGTCAATATTAATAATTTTTAGACAAAGTTGTGATAATTCCTACAGGTGTTCAACAGTTAATGACTTGCACTTTTATTGCCATTGGAGTAATATGTTTATGGTTGTTTAATTCTTAATGAGAAATGTCAGGAGCAAGAAGAAAATATATTAATCAAAATATTAATTTTGATTAATTTTAATACTAATATACTGTACCAAAATTCTATGCTAACTTTCTATGCTAACTTCTGCATGACATGCCTTCAAAATTAGGCTCTTCTTCAAAATGCCTCTATCTTCTTAAGGTGAATGTAGATTAAAAACAATTTTTGAATGTCAGTTTAACATGTTCCTCTACCAATTTCTCAAAAAGTAGAATATACTGGTACACATGTAGTGCAGACAAACTGTGTGGACTGATTGCACAAAGATCCTCTAGAAAACAATGAAGAGTTAATTTCTGGATCTGTACAGTACTTAATTTTACTCCTTAAATAAGTCATACATAGCAGAAGCCAAAACTAGGCTGATAGAACTTAAGAGACAAATAGAAAAAAAAAACTTTCTTGGAGAAGTTACTAAAATTCCAAACTACATACAGTATATTCTTTGTGATGGTATACATGTTTTTTGGTACTTTAAGAAGGAGACCTTTGAGAACTTGTAATGCGTGGGCTATCTCTTCCCTTGGTATTCCAAGATTAAAGGGTTAGCTGGCTGCTTGGCAATTTGAAAATGAAGCAGATGTATTAGCTTGTGGGGACTGGGAAATTGAGATTTCAAATGAGCCCATGGGGCTGTAAGAATCAAGTGAACGGCAAGGCTGTGTCCGCCGTTCCTGTGGAAACCAAACATCAGGAAGCAAGTAAGCATGACAGCAGCAAGGTGGAAATATGAATTACTAGGCATATTAGATCAGCTGCAGAGAGGATTCATATGAACTGGGATACAAGGTCTTTAAGAGTTATGAACTGAACTGTGGGTCACTAGTGCTGTGTAAAAAACAGAGCTATTCGCTCCAGTGAGGCACCGCATGTGCATTTAATAATCATGCTACTTTTCCTTCATTGCAAAATGGTTTATTGTCAAATATTGAAAATATGGAAAATAATAAAAATAAAAATGTATCCTTTGTCATTTTAAAGTATAGCAAATGATCTATTCATTTACCAGGCAACTTGAGTTTGCTTCAGAATGTCAGAAGACACTTGGAATATGGGGTATTATCCCAGAAACAAGGATTATGAAAACACTGAGAAAAAAACATTACTTTAAGATGATTATAGGAGTAAAAATCTCTTTCTATAAACAAACCGAAGCATTTCAATTTGAAATAAAATGACAAACAGCATTCTCAAACTTTGCAGATCATATATTATATTTTAAAATACCAGAAAGCACCTCTTTGAACTTTCGTACTTCTGAAAGGGCCTCATTTTTGCCTACTCTTTTTAAATACTTCACTTGACATGTAAGGTAGTCTGCTGAAGAAAGACAATCTTAGTTAAGCCTTAATTTGATTGAACTACACATTCAGGAGTATCAGTCATTACAGTATCCTAGACTGTATTATATGGTATGTTACAGGATAGATTTGCTTCTCTGGTTAATATTTATTTCACATCATTGTACAAACTACACTGTAGAAGACATACTTTTGTTATGTTATGCCTTATGGCTACCTCATAGAAAGAAGCTTTATATTCTGTCCTTCAATGAGTCAAAATTGTTTATATCCATGAAGTGATCTCAATACACTTGCCAGCACTCATTTAAAAACACTTAATGGATACTTGAATACTGGGCTGATTTCAAATCAGATAGGTGTAATTTCTGAAAGGTAAACTATAGTACTTTTTGCATCATTCTAACCAAGAAAGTGTTTGTCAATACAAGACCTCAACATTAACTTTAAACAGGCCTCATTTTGTTTTGCTCATAAAACAAATGAGAACTTACTGTCTGAAAATTCACACTTTTCCTGCTTCTGGAGCAGGGATGATAAGAATCCCAGAGTAGCAGTTAACTGTTGTAGGTTATGTAAATGAAAGAGGAGAAATTGAAATATATTGCATTATTTCTTTTGGTGCTGCTAATAAAGACAAATTTCCATAGCAGTGGACAATAAAGTATCCATGTAAGGATTCGAATATGAACATTACAAGCCTTACTTAACTCACTAACTAGCCTCAGCAATTCTGCCAAGGCCGACAAAAACAATAGGGAACTACAGTAGAAATTCCTAATACTCACCCACATGGGAATCACCCACCACCCACATACCAAACAAAATCCATGAAAACAGCCTATAGACACCCACATCTCAATCACTACCTACTTAACTTGCTATCGTTCAGCCCCTTTCTAAACACAGAAATGTACATTGTTGTATATCTGTATATGTATTCTGTACCAATGTCATAGAACTTATTTTCCTGCCCCTGGCAGGTGAATGCAAGTATGACTTCCAGGCATGGGGGGATTGTGACATGTCCACTGGCAAGAAGAACCGTACGGGGGTCCTGAAAAGAGCCCTACCAGATGCCACCTGTCCTGACACCGTCAGTGCCACAAAGCCCTGTGGCAAAATTGTCAAGACAAAACTACAAGGTGAGACACTAGGTATGAGGCAACTTAGTTTAGAACCAGGTTTATATTGCAAAGGGAACACTGGAAAGTACATTTTTGAGCAGTTTAGATTGGTTTCCTGCTTAAGCATCATTTAAGATTACAATTATTTTCAAGACTAAAATGAATGGGGACACAGTTACTGCAATTCAGTCCAATACAACAAATTAATTAATTACAACACATAATACAACCTTCTTTCAATTCATTTTTTCTTGGGTCAAACATTATGTGATAGTGATATTTAAAACATAGATATTTCTTAAATTAACTTGACTCTTTTTTGCCATAACAGTGTGAAAAGTATTTTAATTACTTTTTTGACACCTGAGAATCAATTAACTTTGGTAGACCAGTTTCCGAGGTAGTTGTGTAGATTATGGCAAGTAAATTAAAGTGAAAAGTCATAAATGTGAAATGATTTATAGTATAACAATGCTAGCAGAAAATGTCATAATCTATATTTAATTTATTGGGTGGATGCAATTGTTTAATTTTCTTAGCTGTTTGAATTAAGAAATCCCTATGTTGATCCTTCAGAACAGTGCTCTTTTAAGGCTTATGTAGCAGTTTTAGAGTCATTATTTTCATCTGAGATTCTCCAAGTTAAAACTGGCTTAAAAGCCATTTGAAGTAAATCCATTGTATTGCTAATGTAAGAAATCAAATATTTAAAAGCTGCATGCAGGATAATAAGTAGAGTCAAGTCTTCTCTGTACAAAATCTTTATAAAGGGCTCCTGTCCTCAGCTTGTAGTCTTCCTATAGGACATGCCAACTAACTACTCTATGTTGCTGTTGTAGTAACCAGCCAACAATGCTCACAAATGACATTTTCTTGGATTAGAAGGTCAATCATCATACATCATGCAAAGTTTGATTTAGCTAAGTTTTGTTAATGAAACAATGTATCAAATATATTATACAGCAAATAAATTAATGCTTGGCGAAGAATATGTGACATATTGTATATTAAGGAAACATTTAAACATGGGTGAGAATAAAAGTGTGAATTTGCAAGACCATCTTAAAAACAGTTAAGAGAATTTGGTAATTTACATTAAATCAATTAATAAGCCACATAGTCAGATTTAATACAGTATAACAGCCTAGACAATTGTGAAGAATATAAAATATTTGCATTTTAAAATGTAACTATGCTAAGATATATGATTTATATTAATAAAAATCAACATAAACACGATGAGAACATACAAACTGCATCCAGATAGCATTCCAGGGCCAGAATTGAACAAAAAGGGCCCCAGCACTGTATGTCAGCAATGATAACCACTATGCCACCATTCTTGCCCATGTTTTGGTAAAATAAACCCATTTAAAAGGTTAAAAATGGCTTAGGTTTAAAGCTATTTAGCAGGTTTCTTTAATACATAGTTAATGAACACTATTGTGACAGACCCTGCACCTTTCAATAGGAAGTCACAGAGATCAGTGCACTCAATGACCATCAAAGTGAAGTAACAGAATTTTTATAGTAATCTTTTTTCTAGGCTAAGCACAAAGGATTTTGCAGCATGCAAAATCATGCCCTTTGTATACAAAATGCACCACTTATTAAACCCAATGTGAGATCATACACTTTTTAACCTATCACTAATTGCCTAATAATCAAATAGACACCTACTGAGTCTATTTACAGAAATCAGAGGTTCTCCTGGTGGCACAGTAACTGCAATTGCAGTTATTTCTAGGGCTGGCCAGACAAAAACACAATTTTACTTTCTATCAGATAAAATAATTCAAAAGGAATTCTTCATAACATAAAATACAGAATGCAAAAAAAACTTTCTGTCCCCATGCTTGTTTTTAAAGAGAGCAGATTTGATCAAAATAATTTTACAAGTGAAATGGATATTAAACTGAGTATACCATGATCCTTTTGCCTTTTGCTTAGCAGAATAATTACAAAGAATATCTAAACCATGGCATGCTTCTTTTGCAGAGTAATTGCACTTTAAAGTAAATCAATAATTGCTTATGTTCAAATTAGCCAAAATTATCTTTGACATTTTATATGTGAAACCAAACTGAGTCAGAGCTACTGGAGCAAAGATAAAAATAAAATATTTGAGATTACGCTATTCACAAATACTATATATATACAGATGCAGCCATTCAAAACAGGTGGGGTATTTCGCGGTATACTGCAATGGGCGTGTCGCATCAGTATCACGAAGTGTATCGCGTATTTGACGTCATGCCGGAAAGTATCCGGAATCACCTTGTAAAACCGCCAGGACGAGCCAATAAAGCTTAACCTCTCATGTACAGCATTTGAGCTTTTAAATTTAAACTGTGTATTACAGCATGTTAATCATCAGTCATTAAAAAGTTGGTATATTTTATGAAAGCAAGATTGCTCAGTTGGACAAAAGTACACAACCTACCTTTATCATAAATATTTTAATTATGCAGAAATATTTTATGCATCAAAGCCTTTACCGAAGATATTACTAATAGTATTAATAATGAATGACTTTGGACAAGCTGTAAACTCAAAGTATTACGCTGGTCCACATTCTTTCTAACTGTCATTATAAACGAAAATACTTTTATTTTTTTCTTTGACAAACACCACAACATTTCATTGATCTAACTAACGAGGACAGGACATTAGCTAGCCAATACGATAAAGGAATTACTTTTTTTGCTAATTTCTTTAGCACATTTGTACAAGCACTTTGAATCTGTCCAAGCCCTACTTTGTCAGGCATTTTCTATTACTGCAACGGACATAAAAACTCCCTTTGCTTTTAACAGAGCATTTCATAATTTCTAACTATGAAAATTATTTAAACTGCAACACGTATCATTCAACCAGAGCTCAAAATATCACAAGGATCCTCAAGAGCACAGCAAAGACTGTATTAAAAGATACTTATATCAGATACATGAGAATCCAAGATTTTTTATCTACACTTTCTTTTCCGTATACCAAATATTATGGTACCACTTCAGAAGGGTGTTGGCCAGTCAGATTCCAGGAATGGGTACTTTAAAGAAAAAATACACACCAGTATTCCATTTCTCAAAATTTAAAAGATCGTTTAAAAGAGGGGGGGTCTACTCTCAGTGACAGCTGACAATCCTCCATACACCCAAGTGAAAAATTAATAATGCCAATGTAAACGTCGTATTTACAATTTGTTGATAATATAAATGTTAAGTTCTCTAAAGCTTTGTGATAGTTTACCCAGGCAGCAAAAGATCAGCTACACTGGGAAGATGCGACACCGAAGATATGATTAATAACCTTTTAAATCTGAAGGGAGATCTAAAGGGATCCCCCCCCCACACACACACAATAGAAGCAGGAAGCAGAAGCGGGGACAGTTGTCAGAAGGAAAGAAGGTGACTATTCATTGTTATTAAAAATGACTTAAATTCGATTTAGAGATATAAAAAGTCAATTGTCCATAATATTGCTATTCTATTTTTTCAAAGAAATGTTTGTTAAAGGAAAAGTTGCAGCGTCAGCTGGATTTGAACACACAACCTGTGGGTTATTAGTCTGGCATGTAGACCAGCAGGCTACTGGGGAAGTCATGTGAGGAAAGGTGAAACAGCCCTACACAGCCCTACACAGCCCTGTCGCAGAACACGGATATAATTATATCATTATTAATTTCTTTAGATATTCCATATTATATTAGCAGAAAAGCTTAAAACTACCACTTTTTTACACGCTATTTCACGTTAGTTAAAGACTTCAATGCTTAAAATGTTTAGAGAGAAATGGAATACTGTTGTGTATTTTGTCTTTAAAGTACCGAGACCAGCCATATACTGTATGTTTATGTTCCAAAATTAATATCGTTTATGGCCTTCACACGTGTTACAGTATGCTCCTATTCTTTTTATGCTCAGCTACTAAGATTTCCCTTCAGTGGTAAAATTCCATATAAATATTCAATACTAAAACGGGCACAGTAAAGACATTTAAATCTTTCTACGACCGACCAACACACCACGAGTGCCCCTGTTGGTCAACCAATCACGTACCGCGGTATTTTGCGTCAACGCGCGTCACAATGCGCGAGGACGTAGCCAATTACCCGCGGTATGTGTCTGTACCGTGCATTTTGAATGGCTGTATTTGTATACAGTACATACTGTACACAGTATATAAGCTTTCTTAGAAATCATTCAATGGCATATTTACACTGTTTTGTCCCTGTTACTCCATTAATCCACCATTGAATTTCACTGCATCACATTGCTGTGATACTATGTATAAAGAGGTATACTGCTGTCACACATTGAATTAGATGCTTTATTTCTTACTTTTAAGTTTCCTTAAAGTTTCCTTAAGTTTTAAGTTTCCTGATGTAATTTCAGTACAATTTCTTTTGTTATATAAGTGAACTGTTTTACGTGCCAAATATATATGCTGCTAACCTCTCATGTACAGCATATATGATATATATTTATATTATATTATATATATATTAAAACATAAAATCATGTTTTACCATTAAAACAATGATTGAGAAAATTAATATTCTTCCTTATTCATGTGATAAACCAGGCTAGTAGTTGTTGTTAATTCTGAGTATTCGATGAGGTTGCAGCTTGTGTCTGTTTTGACTACTTGTCTTGAAGATAGGTACAGTATTAGTTTGCATCCTGACTCTGCCTCTGACTCTGCAGTTGTGCTAACAATAAACAATAAACAACCAGGAACAAAAAATAAATTAAATTAAAACCTTTCACCACAAAATATATAGTTGTGCAGTACAGAATAAGACAGAGGTCAAGCAGAGATTAATCAGGCCAAGCTCCAGCCTGAAGGTATCAAGAAATTGTTGAATTACCCTGTTTCTAAAAGGGATGAAAACAGGGTGTAAAAGAGTGTTTTCTATGATAGTCTGACAAAGATGAGGAAGTTTAAGTTGAAGTTATGATTATTAACACTCTTCATTCCCTTCTGTGAATCAATATCACAGCAAACTCCATTTATTA